TCTCTGAGCTCAACTAGTTTTGTGTAACTGAGCAGAAGATTCTGACTTTTCAAGCCCAGGACCCCTGAAAGGCTTGTCAGAAGAAACCCCCTTTACTCATCTAAATAACCCAAATGGTGACTCAGGGTGTTCACCAAGTTACATCTCTTTACTTCCTCTCCCATCATTATTAGCAAGCCACGACTTTTTTAGTTAGATTTTTGTTGTTGTTGCTTAGTCGTTTAGTCGTGTCCAACTCTCTGTGACCCCATGGACCAGAGCACACCAGGCACTCCTGTCTTCCACTGCCTCCCGCAGTTTGGTCAAACTCATGTTGGTAGCTTTGAGAACACTGTCCAACCATCTCGTCCTCTGTCATCCCCTTCTCCTTGTGCCCTCCATCTTTCCCAACATCAGGGTCTTTTCCAGGGAGTCTTCTCTTCTCATGAGGTGGCCAAAGTATTGGAGCCTCAGCTTCAGGATCTGTCCTTCCAGTGAGCACTCAGGGCTGATTTCCTTAAGAATGGAGAGGTTTGATCTTCTTGCAGTCCATGGGACTCTCAAGAGTCTCCTCCAGCACCATAATTCAAAAGCTTCAATTCTTCGGCGATCAGCCTTCTTTATGGTCCAGCTCTCACTTCCATACAGTGTGTGTGTGTGTGTGTGTGTGTGTGTGTGTGTCCTACCTGGCCACAGTGGTGGTGGGCTTACTAGTGGGGACCAAGTGAGAGCTCCAGCTGCTCTATTTCTCCTTATCATTGCATCATCAGCAACTTCTAGAACTCAATGAGAGATTCATAGCAAAGCAGCATGGCTTGGGTGAGAAGATTAAAGGCCATCTTAAAGTAATGAGAGAGCCTTGCCAGGGTCACTTCCACAAAGGGATGCTGGAAACATTTTACTAATGGAATTTCAGTTCCTGAATCTCTGAATGGAACTGTGAACTTTTTGATGATAGGTCTAGATGAGGGCTGGACATCTTCGTGGTTTTCCCTGGGCATCCTAAACATTATCAGATGAAGAGGGACCTTAAAGATCAGTGTTCATCTTACACTTCTTTTTCCTTGGCCTCCCTGCATACCTTTTTGCTATGAGGATATAGTCATGCCAATGTTGTTCCCTTCATATTCTAAACAGCTCACTGAGTTTTATGGTGAAGAAATATGTTTGTGTGTATGTATGAGTATACTTATTTACTATTTATAAAATGTAAACGTAACAGGCATTAAATATCGGAGAATATTCTATGCTAGGGGTTTCCAATCTGTTGCCTGTAGACCACCAGTGGTCTGCAAGCTTTATTCAGGTCATCCATGGAGACCAGCACCTATGAATGGTGGGTTTAGCACATTAGCTTCCCATTGTACTTTTATTGCTTATTTTACTTCTTACGTTGAATTTTACTTTTATTTCAGTATTTTGTATTGTAGTCTATGGAATTCAGATGGTAATATAATAAAATACAATGTAGGAAATAAAAAAGCAATAAAAATACAACACTATACAAATACAATCTAGCAACAGCTCATTACAGTTGCTACAACAGTCTAAAAAATCATTAGGTTGTCCACCAAGACACTCAGCTATTTGGTAGTGATCAGTCTTGGTGCAGGGGACAGAAGAGTTTGAGAAGAACCGTTCTGTCCTTATCAACAATGTCTGAATGCTCTTACAGCTGCTGCATTTAACTTCTAACACAAGGTGGTGCAATTGCACAGGCAATTGCACAGGCAGTAAAAATCAGAGCTGCTGCGCCGTGTCAGAAAGCTGTGACCATTAGAAGAAAGGAATCTGAAAAAAGGGTAGCAGCTCTTGTTTGCAACAAAATCTGCAGAATCAGTAAGAGGCAAGCACTGCTGCAACTACTTCATGAAACAAGGACAACAAAGGGACCTTATAACAGAGAAAAGGGCAATTCTGGCAACTGCTTTACAAAGAGGCACCTTGGATTCCAATCTGCCCTGAGAACAAAGCTGGGAAAGAAAATGAAAATCCTCCATTATAGCAGGCAAGTTTGTCTCTTCTTTATCTGTCTCTGTACCTGTGGTGTGGTGTGTGAGTCCTTCCGCTATTCAGTGCCTGAGGAAAAGAAAAGTGGGTCTCTGGTGGCTAATCTGCTGAAAGATTTGAAAATGGAAGTAAAGGAGCTGTCTGCTCGGAGAGCGCAGCTGCTTTCTAAGACTGCCAAGCAGTATTTTGAGCTGGATCCCCAATCTGGGGATGTGATAATAAAAAATAAAATAGACCGAGAGTCCCTGTGTGGTCAGAATGACCCTTGTGTTCTGCTTTGTGAAATGGTGCTGGAAAAGCCATGGCAGCTGCACAGAATTGAGATTCAAATAGAGGACGTGAATGATAATTCCCCCATATTCTCTGAAAAACAATTTGTCTTGGAAATACCTGAGCAGACACCCACGAATACCCGATTCATTTTGGAAAAAGCTCAAGATTCAGACAAAGGACAAAATGCTGTTCAGAACTATACTCTTAGTCCAAATGAACATTTTAGGCTGGATGTGGAAAGTCACACTGATGGTAGCAAATATGCAGAACTGGTATTAGAAAAGCCTTTGGACCGTGAGGAGAAGCCACAGATTTCCCTTATTCTGTCAGCAGTTGATGGAGGGATCCCAAGAAGAAGCGGAAGTACACAAATTATTGTTCAGGTTCTGGACACCAATGACAATGCTCCTCACTTTAATAAATCTGTATATAATGTGCAACTACTGGAAAACATTCCACCAGGTACACTGGTCACCAAAGTTGAAGCCACTGACAGGGATCTTGGTTCCTACGCACATATAACTTATTCATTCAGCCAAGGGTCAGAAAATGTGTTGAGAATGTTCAAGTTAAACAAACACTCTGGGGAACTTACTACTGCAGCAACAATTGATTATGAAGAAAACACAAATTATGAGATGAACATCAGAGCTACAGATGGAGGGGGACTTTCTGCTTACTGTAAAGTCATTGTAGAGATTGAGGATGAGAACGACAATGCTCCAGAGATTACCATCACATCCATCACCAGTCCCTTACCTGAGGACTCTTCCCCAGACACAGTGGTGGCCCTTTTCAGTGTCACAGACATGGACTCTGGAGGCAGTGGCAGAACTGCCTGCACCACTGAAGTCAACCTGCCATTTGTGCTCAAACCCACGGAGAACAACTATTACCGGCTGGTGACCCAACAACCACTGGACAGAGAAAAAGCCCCTGAGTATAACATCACCATCACAGCCACTGACAGAGGCTCTCCCAGACTCACTTCCACAAAAATTCTTCATGTTCAAATTTCAGACGTCAATGACAACCCTCCAGTGTTTGAAAAGCTGTTCTATCAAATGCAGTTAAGAGAAAACAATATTCCTGGTCTTCTGATCAATTCGGTCCATGCTGTTGATCTGGACACCGCGCAGAATGCCAAAGTGATCTACTCGCTTTTGCCTGGGAAGGTCAATGATGGCCCCACATCCTCTTACATCTCCATCAACTCTGAAACGGGGAACCTGTATGCCATCCGGTCTCTGGATTATGAGGAAGTACAAGATTTCCAGGTGACGGTGAGGGCTGTGGATTCAGGTTCCCCTCCACTGAGCTCCGAAGTTCCCATCCGCGTTCAGGTCGTGGATGAAAATGACAATGCCCCCTTCATCCTCTACCCTCTCCAGAATGGCACTTCCCCCTCGAATGACCTGGTTCCCCGAGGGGCAGAGACTGGCTACCTGGTCACCAAGGTGGTGGCTGTGGACAGGGATTCTGCGCAGAACTCTTGGCTTTCCTACCAGCTGCTGAAGGCCACAGAGCCGGGTCTGTTCACAGTGGGGGCCCAGAATGGAGAAGTGACCACCCTGAGGCCGGTCAGCAGCCGAGACAGCTTCAAGCAGAATCTGATTGTGGTGGTCCGAGACAACGGCCATCCTCCCCAGTCCACCTCTGCCACGCTCAGAATCCTTCTAGTGGACGGCTTCTCTGACCCTTATCTGAAAAGTGTGGCTCTCCCAAAGGAGGAAACGGTGGAGGAGGAAGACCCCAGCCTGACGATGTATTTGATCATCTGCTTGGCTGCCATCTCAAGCATCTTTCTCATTTCCATAGTGGCCTTTGTTGTAATCAAGTTGCAGAAACGTGAAAAGTTCACAGGAACCTACAACTCTGCAGCCAATTTCCCGGTGGGACCTGATTGCCAGGAGATCTCTGCGGATCCTGGTGCTGGATCTCTATCCCAGGCTTACAACTATGAGGTGTGCTTAGCTGGTGGGTCTCTGAACAGCGAGTTCCGGTTTCTCAGGCCCCTGTTTCCTGTTTTCTCTGTGGAGCCTCCTAACACTCAGCTGAATCCAAGGAGTTCCAGTGGGTCCCAAGAAGTGCCTTGTGATGAAGAAGAAACGCGTCTGAGATGTCAGGTGAGGATAATTAGTATAATATGATTGTATTCTGAATGAATAAAAATAATTATATTCAATCAATGATACTTGGTTGATGACTTAAGCTGACTGAAAGAACAGGATACGCAGAAATGTAAGTAAGGTTTGAAATGTAATGTACTTATCAATTTATTCTTTTTCCTATTTATTGGCATGATTAAGAAAATTATTATCGCATGTACACATGAGCTAACAGTTAAATGAGCATGAATCTAAACTCAATTTTCACTGGGCTGGTGTTAAATGGACTTTATAGGCTATTAATGCATTTTTCTTAGATGAACCACAAGGTGGCAATATTGGCAAGCACATTATTTTTTACTCACAATATACCATTGTAGCAGCACTGAGGGGAAGCTATGAACAGACAAAACTGAACTAGAGAGGTGCAGGTTCCTTTTCTAGAAAGGAAATACAAAATTCAAGGGAGCAAGCATTGACCACGACAGCGGGGAAAAGAAACAATTTACACAACAGCACAGGGAGCCACTGGAGAAAACAAAAAAATTGGTCTTTTGGCTGGAACCTATATATCTTACCAAGAAGGGAGAGAAACCATGGAAGACTGCATCAGGAACAGGCAAGGTCTGTATCTCTTCGTCTTATTCTCTGTGTCTAGAGTGATGTGTATCTCAATACGCTATTCTGTGCCTGAAGAAAAGAAAAGTGGATTTCTGGTGGCTAATGTGCTGAAGGATTTGAAACTAGGAACAGGGGAGCTGTCTGCTCGCAGAGCCCAGCTAGTGTCCAAAAGCACAAAGCAATATTTCCACCTTGATACCCACACTGGGAATCTGCTGATAAATGATAAAGTAGACAGGGAAGCTTTGTGTGGTGAGACTGATCCTTGCTTGATGCTCTCTGAAATTGTGCTCCAAAACCCCTTAAAGATCTACAGTATAGAGATAGAGATAAAAGATGTAAATGACAATACTCCCAAATTCTCAAAAAAGGAATTCAAGCTATATATTCCAGAGAATGTCCCTATCAACACCCAATTCCCTTTGGAATCTGCACAAGATACAGATTTGGATAAAAATAACGTTCAAAACTACACTCTCAGTTCCAATGAGCATTTCTGGCTCCAAGTAAAAAGTGATGAAAGTGGAAACAAATATTTGGACCTTATTTTGGTGAAACCTCTAGACAGGGAAGAAGCAGCAGAGTTTGGGCTGACTCTCACAGCTGTGGATGGAGGAGAGCCACAGAGAACAGGCACAGTTCAGATAAATATCAAGGTTTTGGACATCAATGATAATTTCCCCCAGTTTACTCATTCTGAATATAAAGTAAGGTTAAAGGAAAACAGCCTACGGGGCACTCTGGTCTCCAAAGTAGAAGCCAGAGATTCAGATTTTGGTTCTAATGCACGAATAACGTATTCATTTGACCGGGTACCTGAAAAAATACACCGTTGCTTCCACTTAAATAATCTCACTGGGGAAATAACTGTTTTGGGAAAAATTGATTATGAAAAAGAAACCAGTTACAGCATGAGCATCAGAGCAACAGATGGAGGGGATCTTTCAGGTCACTGCAAGGTCCTGGTAGAGATTGAAGACGTGAATGACAATGTCCCTGAAGTGTCCATCATATCCATCACTAGTCCTTTGGCAGAGGATTCTCCCCTGGAGACACTTGTGGCTCTCTTCAGTGTCACAGACCGAGACTCCGGAGACAATGGCAGAACTGTGTGCTCTGTGGAAGTAAACCTTCCCTTTGTCTTAAAACCCACAATGGATAACTATTACCAACTTCTGGTCCAAAGCTACCTGGACAGAGAGAAAGTCTCAGAGTATAATGTCACCATCACAGCCGTTGACCAGGGCTCCCCCAGGCTCACTTCAACAAGAGTGATTAATGTTCAGATCTCAGACGTCAATGACAACCCTCCAGTATTTGAAAAGTCTTCATGTGAAATGCAGATACGGGAAAACAATATTCCAGGACTGCTCATTGGCTCAGTCCGTGCTGCTGATCTGGACACGGAGAAGAATGCCAAGGTAACCTACTCCCTTTTGCCTGGGAAGGTCACTGATGGCCTTGTGGCCTCTTACATCTCAGTCAACTCTGAAAGCGGAAATCTGTATGCCCTCCGATCTCTGGATTATGAGCAGATCAAAGATTTCAAAGTGACGGTGAGGGCTACAGATGGAGGGTCTCCTCCCCTCAGCTCAGAAGTTACTGTCCGAGTCGTAATCCTAGACGAAAACGACAACGCTCCCTTCTTCCTCTACCCTCTTCAGAACAGCACATCCCCCTGCAATGAGCTGGTGCCCAAGTCGGTGGAGGCCGGCTACCTGGTCACCAAGGTGGTGGCTGTGGATGGAGATTCTGGCCAGAACTCGTGGCTTTCCTATGAGCTGCTGAAGGCCACAGACCCTGGTCTTTTCAGCATAGGAGCCCAGAATGGGGAAGTGAGAACCAGGAGAGCCCTGAGCGAGCGAGACACCAGCAAGCAGAGACTCCTGATAGTGGTCAGGGACAACGGGCTCCCTCCCCAGAGCAGCACTGCCATGCTCCATGTCCTTCCCGTGGGTGGCTTTTCGGATCCTTATATGAAGGCTGTGGAGGTCAGTAAAGAGGAGCATGAAGAAGACGGGAGCTTGACCTTGTATTTGGTGATCTGCCTGGCTGCAGTCTCCTTTGTGTTCCTCGTTTGCATTGTTTCCTTTGCTGCCATCAAGATCTGCAGGAGGGATCCCAGGGAAAGTTTTATCGCTGCCCCTCCTCACTTCCCACCTGCCAGACCCGACATCCCAGAGAACGGTGGTGATTCTCAGAGCGGGTCTCTTTCCAGGAGTTACCACTACGATGTGTGCTTAACCGGTGGGTCCTTGAGCAGCGAGTTCAGGTTCCTCAGGCCCCTCATTCCTGTGTTTTCTGTGGGGGACCCAAACCTCAATGTGAACCAGACCCCTCCGTCTGCTTCCCAAGATATTCCTGACCAGGCGGGGAAAACAGAATCAGGGAAACAGGTGAGCAATTAGTAATTATAGTCGAAGAAAGCATATTACATCATAAGTGACTTTTCTTACCTGTTTCTTCACATCATCCTATTTTGGTTAATTCTTTATGTTGCAGTTTGTAAATTTTGAAATGCCTCTTTTATAGCCATTTAATAATATTTGTTCTTGCCTTTCTTTTTTAACCCACCTACTCTCTTCACTTGGAGCCTTTTAGTTCCCTTGAACCTTTCTTTGATCTTCTGTTATTTTTATTTTTCAGGGCATTGGTGTTTGTTTTTTACTTCTCTGTAGAACAGGGGGTTGGGGACCTTCCAGTCAAGGACCACATTCTTCTCTGGCCAAGCCTTCAAGGGCAAAGTGGGTAGGACTAATATCCAAATACGTAGGACCAAGTGACCTAGAACCCAGTGATTTCTCCATTTCTCTCCTGAGCATCAGTCTTATGATCCCACCTTTTCTGAATGCTTACAAGATTCTCTTAAACTTTAAAAACTCTTGCCTTGTTTACCAGGAAAGTGCAGAAACATCTCTCTCAATCCTAGAACTGTGCCAGGAATTCAGATTTTTTTTAAAAGTGTTTCAGTTCTTCCAAACTGTCAATATCTAAAATTGAATTGGTTAACATCACTGCATACTTGATATCAAAGAACATATACAATTTATATCTGTTTAATGAAGAAGCTGACCACATTCAATAACCTGATATGAAAAGGAAAATATTAAATTTAGGTATTAAGATATAAAGGAAGTTTCTCGATTGCACTTACTTTTTAACCAGATTAATTTATGAATTAATGCTATGTTTCTGTAATTGATTTAAGCTTCTGCATGTTACTAGCAGTGCTTGGAAAATTCTACTTTTATCCTGTCCAAAAAGGGATTAGTTCTAGTTCCAGTTTGTCCCTTTACAAAATGAATTTGTCCAGTTCAAGTCCCAATTCAGTCTCAACATGTTTTCAGCATTCATAATGTCACAAGCTGCTGTTCTTAAGTAAAAGGTTCAAAAGTATATCACACAGGTAGTAAGTTGCCTGACAGACAGAATGTCAAAGGGTGAAGCTTTATCCATAATTGTATTTCCATAAAAGAAAAGGCTTGCCCTCATCAATATTTGTAAGATAGACATATACTAAAGGTGCTAGCCATAATTTGCTTTATTCCCATTGCTGTACCTCTCACTGCAGGGCAGGCTGTTTCTGTTGAAAGAAAGCAAAGATTCAGAGAATGCCTCCCGATTCTTTCCTTCTGATTGCTTAGCAACGTAACAAAGTGACCTTAGCAATTGCAGCACCTCCATATCTGCCTAATAAACCCTAGAACATTCCCTCAACATTTTGCTTTATAGATGACTAAGTTACTGACTTCTTCTTTTATAAAAAAACTAAAAACAAAGTAGCAGTCTGAGACTCAGGATTTTAAGCAGTTCTGCTCCAACTCCAGACACCTTGTTAATGACACACTTGATTGTGTGTGAAAATCTCACCCAAATCACCCATGAACACCTCGGAATTTGTGCTTCATGCACAGCCAACATACAGCTCTAGTGGTTAGTCATTCTCTCTTAATTTTTAAGTAGTTTTTTTGATGGTAGGGTTCCAGTCACATATACCTCTAGGATGTTTGAATCTAGATAGCACATGAAGGGGTTAAACCGTAGAGTAAGCTGTCCTGCCAGGCAGTCATCACTGCTCACCTGGAGAGGAAATGGGTCAAGAAGCCTTTGTTGTAAGGAGGTCATTCTACCCTCATGGTTTTAACCAGCATTTTTTGTTTCATACCAGAACAGAGGCTCAAACTAGTGTTTGTGTCTATCAATATTTAGAAACTTTTACCTTTTATAGCTAAGCAATGTTTTAACTGATTGTGCATCTTTTCTGGCTGCTGTATGGAAAAACACATGAATCTGACCTCTGAAGAGTTTTGCTAGTAAACCATGTTATGGCTTGCAAAACATGTGGTTGATATGCTAGGGAAATGGGATACAGTGAAAAGAACTTTGAAAACTGGACATTTGGGGACTTACTTGAAGGGCACATTTTAAGGTATTCCTTAAATTTCCATGTTTTTCTCTGCTGCTTGTTGTGTGATGTTAAATCTCTGCTGAGGTTCTCTCACCAAAGAGTCCTTGCCCAAAACTGGGGTCTTGGCTTCTAGGATTCCAACATTTTTAAAGGATGTTTAGCTGTTTCTGAAAAGTAGATGTGGTACAGGCATTTTCCTGGGCAACCTCCCCCAGAATGCTTTACTTTACAGAAGGACCCAACCCCTTCTGAGAGCAAAATAAAGTCGAAGTAGAAGCCTTTAGCTTCCTGTACAATGAAGTTGGGGTCACTTTGACACCTGCCCCATGACAATTTTAAATTCAATTGAAAGCTCTCCCAAGACAATGGTGGTAATCCATGGAGGCTCATTCTGACCATTACCAATGGCTCCCAGGTGGTCTTTTTGGAGAACCAGTGCTATGATGTGTTTAGAACAGCACACTGCAGCATAACGCTCCCTTTTCTGATAATGTCTGACTGTCTTCTTGCTGTAGGGTGACTTGCCACACTAAGGGCAGTCTTTGGGTTACCTGCTGTATTCCTTCCCTTTGCCAGGTTAACATCACATGAGTTAGTTTGTAGTGTCTAGGTCTGCAACAACCTGCTGACTCCCAAGTTTTCTTTCTTTGACCATCCTGCTTGCGAGAGTGGAATTAGACCGGCTCAAAAATTACTTTGCAGTGAGGTAAAAAGTGCTTCTCTAGCTCTTCTTTGTCTGTTTTAAAACAGTTTCATCTGGACATTTGTGAGTCTCCTTGAGAGGATTATATTCCCTACTGCTGGCTCCATAGTGCACAAAAGAGTGTTTACTTGTTGTTCCTGTGTCCAGATGTCTGGAAGAACCTTTGGAATCTGCTTATCTAAAGTGGCCAGCCTTCAGAGTGCTGGAAATCAAATTATTTGTGCAATGTGGAAATCAACCAGGGATGGAGTAGCCCTGTTCAGAGGGGTCATAGATGGCTTGGACTCACCTTTATGGGTCATTGTAGTCTCTCTTAGTTCCAGGTCTCGCCTCTGCCTCTGTTTTCTTTCCTCCTTTTCTGGAGTGATACCCCATCAGTAGCTGCGCCAGCAGAGCCTTCCTGCAGGTACTCTCAGTTTCCAGGCCTCTCTTTTGCCTGTATTTTGAGAGATAAACACTGTGGCTGCAGTAGCTGGGCCTCCTAGTATTCTCTGAGTGTTAACCTGTGACTACCTTTCTGTTTTGTGAGGCTATCAGAACACTGTTGGGAACATAGAAAGTCTCCATTCTGACACCATGTGGGATTAACAGAACACCAGGTAAAGCATGACTAACTTAAATTTCCTGCTTGCGACCTCTAACCTGCTTGCACGGTGCCACCCATATCTACAGCTAACACCCCCATATCTATTGGGACTGGTAGGGCAGAAGGCAGGGAGACCAACAGTAGGTGGGAGCCAGAACTAATGATAGCAAGATCCAAACTCCATTCTGAGGTCTGCAAGGGCAACACTGAAACTAAGTGGGGAGAATGTGAGGAGCAGTGCCACCTCCAGAACTGGTAGTATGTAAGAATCAAGACAGAGAGGTGGATGGGGCAGTACCTCATTTGCCTTAACATGCCAGCCTCCATTATTGCAATTGTTTGTATTTTTCAGATATTGTCTCATTAATGTGTGAAATGTATCCAGAGGTTAGTTTACATTATCTGGCTTTAGTTGAGTGATGGCCTGAGCTGTGTGCAAAATTCCATGTTCATATAATGAATTTGTATACACATTCCATACCTTCCAGTTAATATTGGGTCAATGTTATTTATTCACCTTCACAAACAGGCTCACATTAACTGCAAATCCCAAGATCTGCATCCATATCTTTCTCTATAAGGAACTTTTGTATAGATATTAATAGTAAGGGGTGAGGACCAGCTAACTGACAAAGATTGCAGTTATATGTATTTCAAACACAAGATGGTGCCATTGCACAGCACATATTCTTAAAGAAAGATTAATGTTTGGAAAGCATAGACAAGGGCAAAACAATCTGGAAGCAAAAGAGATACAGCTCTTCATTGCAAAAAAAATCAGGAGGAGGGAGACAGCAGTATGCATTTTCAGGAATAAATACAGCAAAGGGATACAGCTAAGTACAACAACATATTTTTCTGTTGTTCAATCTGTCTTGAGTGAATCTGGAACAATGGAAATGAATAACTGGAACAGGCAAGTGACTTTTTTCTTTCTGTCTCTCTGCATGTATGGGGCAATATGCAATTCCATCCAATATTCAGTGCCAGAGGAAAGGAAAACAGGGTCTCTGGTGGCTAATGTGCTGAAAGATTTGAAAGTGGATGTAAAGAACCTTTCTGCTCGGAGAGCCCGGCTGGTTTCTAAGAGCACCAAGCAGTATTTCCAGCTGGATCCCCATTCTGGGAATTTGATATTAAAGGATAGAATAGATCGAGAGGCTCTCTGTGGTCAGAATGACCATTGTGTTCTGCTCTGTGAAATTGTGCTAGAAGATCCATTGAAGCTATATAGAATTGAAGTTCAAATAGAGGATGTGAATGATAATTCCCCCAAATTCTCTAAAGATCAATTTATTTTTGAAATACCTGAGCAAACTCACATAAATACTGTATTCCCTTTGGAGACAGCTCAAGATTCAGACAAAGGAGAAAATACTGTTCAGAATTACACACTTAGTCCTAATAAGTATTTTAGGTTGGATGTGCAGAGTCACAGTGATGGTACTAAATATGCAGACCTAGTATTGGAGAAACCATTAGACCGGGAGGTGGAAGCACAGCTTTTCCTAATCCTGTCAGCTGTTGATGGAGGAATACCCCGCAAAACTGGAACAGCACAAATCATCATAGATGTTCTGGACATCAATGATAATGCTCCTCTATTTAATAAATCCGTGTACCAGGAAAAACTGATGGAAAACAGCCCATTGGAACATTAGTCACAAAAGTTGAAGCCAGAGACAAGGATATTGGTTCCAATGCTCACATCACTTACTCATTCAGCCAAGTGCCAGAAAATGTGCAGAGATTATTCAACTTAAACAAAAAGACAGGGGAACTTACTATCTCAGGTATAATAGATTATGAAGAAAGAACCAAAATATGAGATGAATATCAGAGCTACAGATGGAGGAGGCCTTTCTGCTTACTGCAAAGTCATTGTAGAGATTGAGGATGAGAATGACAATGCTCCAGAGATTACTATCACTTCCATCACCAGTCCCTTACCTGAGGACTCTCCCCCAGACACAGTGGTGGCCCTCTTCAGTGTCACAGATGGGGACTCTGGAGACAGTGGCAGAACTGCCTGCACCACTGAAGTCAGCCTGCCATTTGTGCTCAAACCCACGGAGAACAACTATTACCAGCTGGTGACCCAACAGCCACTGGACAGAGAACAAGCCTCTGAGTATAACATCACCATCACAGCCACAGACAGAGGCTCTCCCAGACTTACTTCCACAAGAATAATTCATGTTCAAATTTCAGATGTCAATGACAACCCTCCAGTGTTTGAAAAGCCATTCTATGAAATGCAGTTAAGAGAAAACAATATTCCTGGTCTTCTGATCGGTTTCGTCCATGCTGTTGATCTGGACACAGCGCAGAATGCCAAAGTGACCTACTCGCTTTTGCCTGGGAAAGGTCAATGATGGCCCCACATCCTCTTACATCTCCATCAACTCTGAAACGGGGAACCTGTATGCCATTCGGTCTCTGGATTATGAGGAAGTAAAAGATTTCCAGGTGACGGTGAGGGCTGTGGATTCAGGTTCCCCTCCACTGAGCTCCGAAGTTCCCATCCGCGTTCAGGTCGTGGATGAAAATGACAATGCCCCCTTCATCCTCTACCCTCTCCAGAATGGCACTTCCCCCTCGAATGACCTGGTTCCCCGAGGGGCAGAGACTGGCTACCTGGTCACCAAGGTGGTGGCTGTGGACAGGGATTCTGCGCAGAACTCTTGGCTTTCCTACCAGCTCCTGAAGGCCACAGAGCCGGGTCTGTTCACGGTGGGGCCCAGAATGGAGAAGTGACCACCCTGAGGCCGGTCAGCAACCGAGACAGCTTCAAGCAGAATCTGATTGTGGTGGTCCGAGACAACGGCCATCCTCCCCAGTCCACCTCTGCCACGCTCAGAATCCTTCCTAGTGGACGGCTTCTCTGACCCTTATCTGAAAAGTGTGGCTCTCCCAAAGGAGGAAACGGTGGAGGAGGAAGACCCCAGCCTGACGATGTATTTGATCATCTGCTTGGCTGCCATCTCAAGCATCTTTCTCATTTCTGTAGTGGCCTTTCGTTGTAATCAAGTTGCAGAAACGTGAAAAGTTCATAGGAACCTACAACTCTGGAGCCAATTTCCCAGTGGGACCTGATTCCCAGGAGAACTCTGCGGATTCTGGTGCTGGATCTCTATCACAGGCTTACAACTATGAGGTGTGCTTAGCTGGTGGGTCTCTGAACAGCGAGTTCAGGTTTCTCAGGCCCCTGTTTCCTGTTTTCTCTGTGGAGCCTCCTAACACTCAGCAGAATCCAAGGAGTTCCAATGATTCTGAAGGAGTCCCCAGACATGCAGGTGAAAGTCAACATGGGGTTCAGGTGAGAGAACACTGTTGGGAATTTGTTTTCTAATATTTAATTTTTAAGGATGGGATTCAACAAAGTGCTAAGTGAGGTATGCTTGTGTGGAATGAGGTTCACTCACACAACGAAATGAATGAATGAATGAATGAATGAATCTTCATTTGCGTCAGCCATCGGCCATAGCAATAAAACAATACGATACAGTGGTACCTCGTGTTACAAACACTTCAGGTTATAAACACCTTGGGTTACAAACTCCGCTAACCCAGAAGTAGTACCTCAGGTTCTGAACTTTGCCCCAGGATGAGAACGGAAACCACGTGCCGGTGGCATGACGGCAGCAGGAGGCCCCATTAGCAAAAGCGCGTCTCAGGTTAAGAACTGTTTCGGGTTAAGAATGGACCTCCAGAACGAATTTAGTTCGTAACCTGAGGTACCACTGTATACAAAGAATAGAAATGAAAAGTCAATTATATAAAATACATTTTAGGGGTTTGGATCAATAGTCAAAACACTCACACAATATACTTCCCTCCTTTTGTTGCACTGCACATTCCCCAAACTTTCAGACCAGATTTAATATTACATATATGGAAAAGACAAAAACCAGTTTACATGTCATTTGTGGAAATGGATTGCAGTATTTCGTTGCAGATTCTTCAAATATAATGTCTGTCCATTGACTACCAAACTTCATTAATCACATTTACCCAGAAATTCATTCTTTCCACTTCTGAAAATAACTCTGAGTTAGGGTATTTTACCTAAGGGAAGCCTTTTTGAAATGAGAGAATGCTTTAAGTTGGAGGCTTAATTTGCAAACCAATTGGGCTTTTGCTATATATGGCTTAAATAGGGTGGTAAATGGAGAATCCAATATATTCATCACTACATAGTAAATATTATTTCAGAGAAATGTAAGACAGATTGTGAATTAATGAAACTGGAATACATTATTGGCAATGAGACTTTTTTATGAATATATTCTGAATGCTCTGTGTAAATGATGTTCTTGCTAAAGGGGAGGAGAATATACGGTGAGTGGAAGAATGATAATTATGGGGAGTTATTGAAGATATGTCATTCCTTGGTGTGAATATGGGGATTAGAACAATACAATAAATCTTCCGGAAGGAAGTCCCAATTTCCAACAGCAGCATGGAAGACTAAAATTGGCTGAACAGAAACTGGGTAAGAGAACCATTTGGGAAACAAAAGATATATATGTTAAAAAATGGTGAGAGTTATGAAGCTAAAAACTAATTATTAAAGTATGGTGTAAGACTCAAAAGAATCATGAAGGCAATTATGAGGAGTCATTCGTTTGGTGCTAAGGTGCGCAGTAACTAGAGCAGTAACTTCACATCTTTCATTCAGCCATTTAAACTCCATGAGTGATACTGGAGAAAGAAGAGGCGTATAGAGATAGAACGAAAGTTGAAACTTCATCTAGATAACAAGGAAGTACTGTTGGCCAGGTAATCATATGATCCAAGATCATAACTTGTTTGGGATGGCATTGTGCTCCTCCCTCTTAGGAACCGGGGCTATTTGGGAGGAGGCTCCTGGATCTCCAGGTGGCAGTCTGAGCAGGAGAACCTCTTCATTAACTCTGACCAGTGTGCCAGCCGTGCCCTTTCTGGCAACAGTGACTCACGCCAAAGTAATACCCACATTAGACTGCTATAATGTGAATTAACCTTGGACTGTCTTTGCAGAGCACTTGAAAACTTCAGTTGGTGCATAGAAAGCTGCCTTATACCATGCCAGACCATTGGTCCCTCTAGCCCAGCATTGCAAACACTTTTTAGGGTTTCAGGAAGGAATCATTCCCTGCCGTAGCGGTCAAAAGTATGGCTGATAAAATATGTTGAACATTGCTTTGCATGCCTTAAGGGTTGTGTCCTCCCGTGCATATTTTCCTGCACATCTAGATCAGCTGCTATGCTCCATTTTCCTCCACCATCCTAAGCCAAACCTTGGCTTAGCTGTAGATGATTTTTTTTGGTGATTGTTGGTAAGTAATTGTGGCAAAAGTCTCTTAGCTGGTGTATTTAGTTTGAGCTGGGCTGCTTTCCTGATTTTGGATTTTATTCTTGTTTTATTGAAAATGTTGTGAGCTGCCTCATAGAAAAGTAGGGTACAGATTGTGTGAACAAGCTAACAACTATTTGTGTCACTCTAATGAAGGAAAGAAGGCTTGGGAATGGAGGTTCGTAGCAAACGTTAATGCTACAAAGCTGCTGCTGCTGGACAAAAGGTATAGTTGTTTTTGGTATAATGAGTGCCCAGCTATGATCTCAGGCATTGTATTGAGTTCATTCAAGCTGAAAAGAAACGGGATTGTCACCAAACTCATAGTACTACCATCCTTGGCAGTATAACGTTGTTGTATCGCACAGTCACAGTTCATATTTTGGGTTTTCAGAAAACGTTTGTTATGTTCCTATCTGGTAAGCATGGCATTTCATTACACTCTTCTTACTGCAGCTTAATGCCTTGGCAGCATTTATCTAATGAAAACCACATCAGCTTTCAGAAAATTACAATGCACTTTTTTATGTCCTTTGCAGGCCAGAGCATCACTCTCTGAAGACGCTGCTCCCAGATCCGGAGCCCCAGGTTGCACTGTTAATCAGGCAACTGGGGCAAATATAAACTGTGGTCAAAATGACTGGCTTACCTATCAATAGATGAGGACGACCAACTCCATCCATCTTTCTTTCTCTGAAGACAAATAACCAAATGATCAAGTCTCATGCAAGAAACTTGACCCCTGGCCTGAAAAAATATGGGTCCTCTGCCTAAAGGAGAAAGATACCAGGAAACTCTCTTGTGCAAGCAAATAGAAAAGAACAGAAATGCTCTTGTGCTGTTCTCATTCATTTCGATGGAGCTTATGTAGGAGAATGTGTAGCTGGATTGTCCACATACATTGACCTAGTAGACAATTATATTTATGCTTTGTAGGATTTTACAGTAGCCCACTGCTCTTTTGATCTAGCTGGTTAAAGAAATGTAGGTGACTTTATTGCATGCTCATTGTTGTAATTATTCCTTAGTTTACTTTTATGCTAGCTTTGCTGCTTTCCTTCAAATATTTTCAATGGTTATAGCAATTTCTCAGAAATTCTGTTTTCTGGTTGTAATGCAGCTGTTAGTCGTATCCAGTAGCTTCATTTGAAGACCTAACGAGACAAATGAATGAGTATAATCAGTAAGGGGGAGAAGTCTGGACATAGTCCACTGGGACATTGAAAGGAATGGGAGCTTTGGAAGAGAATATTTCTCCCATTTATTTCAGCAAAGCTTGCACATAGGACTTCCATTTCTCAGTGAATTTACACTTTATTTTCTAGTCATAGTTACACTGTGTGTGCACTTTCCTGTCTAAATGCTCAATTCTATCGTTTCCTGTAGCTATATTTGTGTTAACAACTTCTCTTTCATTGGCCTAGTTTGCACATAACACTGAACTAAATCTAGATGCTCACTTGATTATTATATCACAGAACAGTTAAAAGCACAAGCGAGAGCAGTCAAGCCTAGAGAACAGTTTAAAATTTTTGCCACTCATCACTTGCAGCTCTGTAGCTTTTGGAGGAGGTCCGGGCTGACATGTAGCGCCTACATTGTGGTTAATACTAAGATATATAAACCAGCTACAAATTTTGGTTAATGAACCATAGTTAAACTGTTGAGTTGGGTTCACACATAACAGTCAGCTGCAGTTTAATGAACCATAAATTAATAAACCATAGCTTAATGTTATGTGCAAACCAGGCTGTCGAGTCCACATACACACCTCATGTGTGCATACACATACATGTGCACATGTTTTCTCTGAAATTTAACTATTCCTGTTTTCCTGCAATTGACCCACAATCTGCGGCCAGTGTTAAAAAATTGAGATATGAAAGCTAGGAGCGAAAAGGAACCTTAAACCTAGTTATGGGCGCAACAATGCAATGTCTAGGCGTGCTTTTTTATAGGAAGAATACAAAACTGAAAATGAACTGCATCTAAAATATTATGCTCATTTTTCACATGGTCTAGTCCTTCCCCTGCCCAACCCCCTAATATTCTTAAGATGGTCTCTTCTCCAGGTTTCAGAGAGTAGCTGGAAGCAGGGAGACAGAAAAAGGTCCTATTTTCCTTCCACTCTGCAGTTTTAATCTGAAATCTTAGTCACAGAAGTGCACCCAGAGCTCTGAAACTGCTCATGCTAATGAAATTCTCTGCCGCAAAATGTGCCTAGAAAAATGGGAGTTTCAAACACTGTGGCTGATGCTGAGAAATTGTTTGCAAGCTAATCAATACTTCTTTCCAGCAATGGAATAATGAAGCATACTGTATTTGAAAAGAACAATGTAAACTATGCTAAATCACATTATTTAAAGCTGGCCTTTAATGTTGGTTTATTTATGGTGTTCGGAACTACTCAGGTGGTGACTAGATGGACTTAACACCAAATTGATTCCAATCTTCATTCTCTACAGTGACAGGGACAATTTAGTGTTAAACCCAGCTGTCAGCCTATGATAAAACTGCTACTGTAAACACTCTAAAACAGGAATTATAGACTATATTATAACAGTGTGGTTTCACAGTTATGTGGTTATGTAGTTGTGCAGTTTGGAATAGAATTTTCAGTAAACCTTTGTGTTTTGGGAATTGTATTATATTCTTACAATGACAAAAATTCACAATAGTGAAGCATTTTGAAGTCTGTGGGTGAAAGGAAGTGGCAAGTAGTATTATAGTGAAACAGGATAGGAAAGAGTGCAATTTATATACAACTGGAATCAGCAGGGAAACATGCTAGTTTTAAGATATAGAATGCACATATTTCTTTTTATGCACTGTCAATGTCATCTTTTTGTTATGAGAAGATGAAAAAGATGCTGTGTACTTTTACATATTGTTTGCTAGATTTGAATATCATTTTTGTATGTTCATAAAATAATAAAATCACTTTCTAAAATCTATGGATGGAAATGCTTTGTGAAACAGGATCCCTAGGGTGGGGCAGCAAGCATCAGCAAGGCAAACTACCAAGGCCACAAACCATAGCCTACTTTACAGACCTGGCATGGACCAGAAGGAAGGAAATTCTCCCTGATCTGCTTTACCAACCTATTGTAGTTGTAATTTCCTTACAATAAACATTGGGATGGGAGTTTAGAGGACACCTGGAGAATGAAGGCATTCTGTCAATTTCCCTCAGCTTGACTATATTATTCACTACTTGTATTACTAACTGCTGGGATACTTTATAGCTTACCCTGCTGCCTATACACACATACATACACTTTAAATAAAAAGCACAGAATTACAAGTGCACAGAGTAAGATAAGACACAAAAAAGAAGGAAGTGAAAAGCCTTCAAACATTTGAAGACAGATATCTTGTCCTCTTAATCTTCTCTTCTCCAGATTATATATACCTACCTCCTTCAAACTTTCATCATATAACTTGGTCTTCAAACAATCAAACATAAGAAGACAACAACAAAGTCACAGTTAAGTCCTTGGAACATTTCCCAGATTGCTACCAAGTGTAGTGACAAGAGGTTATTCCCACAAGGCCGTCCCTTATCAGTCTCCTAATTTCCTGGGGTTTCCCTGATGCCTTTTAAGATAATGTAACTAAGCTTCTAAGTGTGAGGGTGTTAAAATAAGCTGAGACCACACTGGTTATGAAACAAAGAAAGTGTTTAGAAAGACAGAAAAAAATATGGAGTTTTAAAAGAAAGATATGTAATGCAAAAGTTACAGAAAACCATTACACACACACCCCCGGAACAAAATAGCAAAATAAAGCCAATTAAAGCACCATCCACTTTCCTGGGACTAAGCAGTCCTTCAACTTACCAGACTCTCAGGAGAATCTTACTCCTAAGTAGCAGCCCTCTGTTTGCCTATCTCCCAGGCTTACAAAGATTTTCCTTTATTATGTTGGGTTCCACACTGAACTGAAGAACCTCCACAATGTAGACTCCCCTTGTCAACCACAGGTTAAGAGATGTGCCAATTCTTACATAAACAATGAAGTATTCACTACCTTAACATTTAAGCCTTAGGATATTTGCTGGGTTTCCAAGTTAATTCCATAATCCCCTCCAATAAAGAGACAGGTAAAAATATACATTACAATACAAATAAAATTTGCAGCAGTCCATATAAGTAAGGATCATGCAATCAGTCTCGGAAAGCAAAGTCTATTTCATTTTCTGATTTGACATGAATTTTTTGATTAAAGCAATTTTCCAGACACACCTATGAGTTTAGGAACCATTTGTGTTCTGCTTCCTAGTATGTAGCCACTAGTAGGAGTATTAGATCTTTAAACTACACATCTTGATTAGGACTTTCAGAAAAGTTTAACACAGCTAAAACTGGTGCTATCTTCAAAGGTTAACCTGTGCTAAGCATAATCTCTGAAAATACTCTTGATGAAAAGATTTGTTCCACTGGACACTGCCATCACATATGAAGGTAAGTCCCAAGTTCACCACATAATCTCCTTCAATTTGAGCTTGCTATATTAGTGATTCTGAAAAGTTTCATGGGAGCAAGACACCATTTAGGTATCAGTTTTAAAGAAGCAAGGAGCAAAAAACAATTTTCAGCCACAATTTCATCTTCTGTGGCTACAATGTCTAGTTCACATAGTCTTCGTTCTCAACAAAAACATATTTCCCACAAAACCGCAGTTTGCCTGGGCAGCTATCACCAGATCTAACAGGAAGTGCATTAATTGATTATACTGAAACCAGTTTTTAGTGCACTTCTGAGATCTGTTTCTCCTTGATAGGTAAATTGTTTACACAGAAATAGTAGAGGCAAAGGGATTTAGCTGTAATAAGTTCCAGATATTGAGAGCTACCTGCAGGGATTGGTTAGAAAGTTGTAAGGAAATTGGTTCTCTTGGGAGAAATGGAATTGCCCTATAAGATGGGTGCAATAACACTATCCCGACACAAGGTTTGCCATCTTCATTATAGATTAAGGAACATAAATGTCTAATCTGAACTGCATCAAAGTAAGGGTTGTAAATTTGGAATCAACAGAATCTGATTGTTGACTCTGGTTTTTTACCCCCATGTACGGTATATATTTACTGAGCAAAGTTGGCCAGATCTTAAATTGTTTGGGAAAGATTGAGGTTGGCAAGTTCTGGAACAGGAACAGGAATTTTAACAATAACATTATTCTGAGAATTGCTAGGTGTCCAAGTTGATATAAATTCTATTTTGTCCAATTCCTGAGCTCCTATTGCATTTGATTCAACAAGGGGCTTAACTAGTCTTCTTTAAATATGATGTCACCTTTTTGGGGCGCTACACAAATCCTGATATGCCAGATATGCCAACAAATGTTTGGGTATTTCTGACTTTTATCAGGATTTGAATTGTGCCCCAAGAAGGTTAAATATCAATCCTGTATTTTTCCCTTGTTTGGGGGAGAGACTAAGATTCATTTTCTTTCTTTTATTTGAATGTATTATTCATTTATTTCATTTGTATCCCACTTTCCTCCAAGGAGCGCAAGGAGCTCATACATAGTTCTCTTCCTTCCTATCTTGCCTTCACAACAACCCTGTGAGGTAGCTTAGGCTGACAGACTGTGAATGGCCAAGGTCACATAGTGAGCTTCAAGGCCAAGTGGGGATTTGAACCTGCGTCTCCCAGGTCCTAGCCTGACACTCTAACCACTGCACCACACTGGCTCTCAAAGAACAAATACAGTGGTGCCTCGCAAGACGAAATTAATTCGTTCCGCGAGTTTTTTCGTCTTGCGGTTTTTTCATCTTGCGAAGCACGGTGTCGGAAAAGTTTTGGAAAAGCTTCAAAAATCACCAAAAACCTCAAGAAAGGCTACCACACCGCGTTCTATGAGTTGCTCCTCGAAGTCAAGTCGCAACTGTATTAACGGTGTTAAGAAAAAGGAAACAAACTTGCAAGACGTTTCCGTCTTGCGAAGCAAGCCCATAGGGAAAGTCGTCTTGCGAAGCAGCTCAAAAACCGCAAAACCCTTTCGTCTAGCGAGTTTTCTCGTCTTGCGAGGCATTCGTCTTGCGGGGCACCACTGTAGTAATACATTGGCAAAGTTAGGGTTAGGGCAATCCTATACATAAAAACCTGGTGTGAAGTTAAGCTGGGGTAAAATATGCCAAAGCCAAACTCCATTCTGAAGCATGTCTAAGCCTGGCGGAGGAAAAACAAGTCTTGAAAATGGGTGTTTGGGTTACATATCACCCTCCTTGCCAACCTACTTTGCTAACCTGGGTTGTTTGACCATTCTCAATGAGCTTAGGATCCAGCCTAAGTCCTCCCCCAGATCCTCCCCAACCACACCCACTTTCCACGACTTAAGATCTGTCTGGCTTGGCTCAGCTGCCTGGGTCCCAGCTGGTATCCAAACAATCCCCTGTCAACAATGTCTAGGCAACACGGTGACCATATACATATGCAATAGACAAACT